TGTTCGAGTGAGGCCTAGTTTAATCTAGTTGTGTAAGGGGTCATCCATAATTTTCATCATTATCACAAGTTTGCAAAGCATAGGCTTTGGAACAATCCCCCCCCCCCCTCTAAAAATGTATGTTAGTGGATGAAAAATGATGGATCAAGATATCCCTATCTATATGTGTGTTCTTATTTTGCAATTCTAAGAAAATAATTATATGAATTCAAAATAAAACCTTGTCTTGTTATATTGCTCTTTCACGGTATTGAAATCAAGAGTCTAATGACAGGACAATACAAAGAGTCTATGGATTATTTTTCTGCATGCTGGATTTTTTATCTTTTTTATGACCACAGATGGTTTAATGCAAATGAAAAGTGTTTAAAGTGATATTGAGATTTTTCCCATGTTTAAATAAATAAAATATAAAAATTGCTTAACCATCCTGGTACGAACCGGCTGCAGAAATTTCGTCTCATGTCACTTCAGCTTGGTCTTCCAGCTGGGCATTATCAAAAGCAGAACCCTGCAACACAGTCACCATGAATATTTGTATACGTTTTAGATGAATGAAGTGTACGTGTTCCTTGTTGCATTTTCTTGTTATACATCTAACACATTTTCTATACAGAAATGCAGGTGCATTTTATGTCATTCAATGTTGTTACATTATTGGCTTAATATTGCACTTACTGTATATTATTCTGTGTAGTGCATTAAACAAGCAAGTAATGCAGGCAATCCTATAATCATCAGCTTCTGACCTTACACACTGTAACCGTAATCTAATATTCATCTGTTTATGATAGTATATGGTTCAATTTGATTATCTATCCATTACCTTTATCATCTAATGTTCAGAAAATGGCTGAAATGTTTCTACAGAAAAGAGGCCTCCCCAGCTAGTAACACCGACATTTGAATCATGGCAGCAGCCGATTCACCCATTGATGGATCATCATTTTTCAAATTCAAAAAAGTGTATCCCTGGTCTTAACCCCCTCCCCCCTGCGTATGGTTTGTACGTCCATGATAAAGATGAAAATTATGGATGTCTCCTAAGCAGAGTCAGCATTTTAGTGGTGTCTTGTAGAGTTGCAAGCCAGGTAAAAAGCAGACATTGTAACACTTTTTACCTTGAAGTTGAGGTATTACTATTAGTAAACTAGTGAATATGTGTCTAAAGAGAAGTGTATTGTGTAAAAGTTTTTATTTGTAGCCATATACCAGAGTGGAGAGGAAAGGAAAGATAATGAAGACAAAGAATTGTGTGATTATCTATCAGTCCCACTTGACAAAGTGTGCCTGATAATTATTAGACATAATAATCATAAGAGAAGGTCTGGTGTGAAGATTTGTTATTATGGAAACAGAAGTCTTGTAGTCAGAGCTGCAAGAAAGGCAGCCTCTTTTTTCTTATTATTATTTTTTAAAGTTTATTTATTGACTTCCTTGTTTGAAAAGAAATAGCTTCATGCAAGTGCTATGGTTGCATGGAGTCAACTCACCTGATGCCTCTAATCAGGCAGTTGTACATGATTGCTATAACTTTGAGGGCCCAGTATTTTTTTTTTTTTTTTTTTTTTTTTTTTTTTTTAATAATTTAGTGATATGGAAAATTGTGACAAAGAGAGAAATATCACATAATAGCATTGTATATTCTAGTTGTATATTTGTTCTTTCTTTAGTTTATACAGTATCAGATGTTAATATCATAATTTCGAAGATTATCTTTTAAATTCAAAATACCTTTCAGATTCTGCGTGAAATTATGTGCGGAGTTCTCCAGCAGCTTGGTACACATGAGGCAGCTTTTATGAATTGATATGAAACAGACAACCACAACATGATATTGTAAGCAATGTTAACTTGTATTGAAGACTGGAAAGGGAGTATTATACAAGCACTTTTTTCGAGTGAACTTGCATCACAGACACAGGCATGTAGTAAATTGAATGGTAACATCAGTGAAATTTTTGGTTTATTATCCAGGAAAAATAAGCAACACAAGTTTACAGTTTTGTTCCATGATCCTAAAACTTTACTAATCTGTGGAGGGAGAAGCAGAGCTCCAGTTATGAAATGTTGAATGTGCTAGATCCAATTTTCCCTCATTAGATGCCATCCTGAATGGCTGTATCCAAGTTTAAAAGACAGACAGAATGAAAGAGAGAATGAATTTTTTTTTCTTTAATGATTTATTGTCCAGCAGGGGGTGAGTTTAAAATTGTACTTGCACAGTGAAAAGATTTGCTAAAATCACGTAATGATGTTTCTGGAAGTGAAGATACTGTTTATTAGAGAAAGATTTGCATGCACTCTATCTGCTTGTTTTGAAATTTAGCTTTGTGTGGAGGTCCATGCTATGTAAGTTGTCCTGTTGTATTGTATGTTTCAAACTTTACGCTGATGTATCCACGTGATCAACTACATAATATAGAATATGTTGTGATGAGAAACAGATTAAGAAGTGCCTCTATGATACTGCTGTAGTCAGCATATAAGATGATTTTTATTAATAAGATTAGTATTGTTATTATTAGTAGTAGTATTAGTATTGTATTATTATTTTTATTACTATTATTATTATTGTTCATATTCTTATTCATATTTTTATGCCTATAATGATGTATAGCTATAAACTGTGGGTTAAAATATATGTCCACCACACTCTAGAGAAAGAAAACACATTTCTTAACATATGCATTCAAAACAGATTGGCTAAGTGAGAAATCCTTAAGTTCCTTCCTTTTCATTCCAATTTTGATTTTGATCCTTCTGATAACTTTGCCTCCAAAATCTAATCATCTGATTCCTGGGCAACGGGTAATCCACCTGTAAATTTTTAAGACTGTTAATTACTGACCTGCTGACATTGGTAGATATATGAGACTCAAAACAAACCAGTAAATCAGATAATTTTTAATGATAATTGATATTAATAAGAATTATGATGATGATATTTAGTCATAATAGTAATAATGATGATAATGATAATGATGTGAAGAGTATGAAAATAATAATGGTAATAGTGATGATAATGATCATGAATATGTTTTTTCTTACTTTTATTCTCATAACCACACTCAGTGATACATTTACATCAACGCTCATATCCCACTTTGACCCCACTTTTTTAGGTCCTGGTTGTGCTCACACAGATGTTGATCCACATCACACCCACAAACACACATAAAAGAATCACACATATACAAACACACAGTCACACATAAAAACACACGTAACACAAAAAAATAATCTATGCATAAACATATTTGTATGCAATTATGGATGTACATATATTTATATAAATAGACATACACACACATTCATATGATGTATAGATAATTAAAGCTGTAAATTTCTTCATATAAATAGGCACTTGACAGATGGTAAATGCTCATCTGTCCTAGAGTCCTCGTATGATAGCCTAATTTGAAAGATCAACAATTAAGCTGGTACTGTGGTGCATCAGGACACTGTTCGGCGAGTGCTGCAGTCATAAGTATTGTTGGGGGGTACCTGCAATAATGTCTCTTAAACACTATTTCTTGCATTTTGGGGTGCAAATTTTGTTAAATGCAATAATGTTAAATGGCTGATGTTGCCACCAAAGAAGCCAAAAAACCTATGAAATGCCCCTGAAATAGTCCTATAGTTATAAGGCGTTATGTCACTTTTATAAACATTGTTAAAAAAATTATGCTTACCTGCACTTCTTCCTGCAAAAAAGGTTAAAGTAATGTCAGATACACCGCCAATAACAGTGCTCGGCCATGCTTCGTCACGGAAGACCAACCAATGTTATGTGAGTCTCACAATTCGCGAGATGTAATGTAATTATGATTGCATGAGATTTCATCGGAAAAGAAACATGGTGGCGGTAAACAGACAGGGAAAGTAACAAAGTGGCTAGAATCGGTAAAAATTTTATCATATTCATCAAAGTTATTGGGAAAAATGAGATGAAAATATTGGGGCGTCTTTAGGGCATCTGAGCTAAAAGTAGGGAGTCCAATTTTTTATTATTTTTTGTACAGGGCGTCCAAAAGACACCTGGACGCCTCCCTAACTACATGCCTGCCATCAACAAACAAGAGAAAATGGAAGCAGCAAATGAGGGTCTCTCACCAAGGGATGATGGCCAAGCCATGAACTTCACTGGCCAGTAGGTGACTGCATTAGCATGGAGTAGATGTTTACCCATCTACCAGCTTAAAGGTCCAGAAAGAATATACATATACATAGACATCTACATCTATAATATCTACATAAATGTATGTGTAAATAATATGTAGATATTTTGTTGTGCAGTGATTAAAGTCAGTACTCCTTGTAGTGGAGGAGACAACTTTACTCAAGGTTATGTACAGCAATTTTGTGTGAAAGTTGGATGATTTTAGAGACATAATACAAGGTAGGAAAACCTACTGTACAAGGAAGGATTTATTTGAAGGTGGGACAACCCTTTTAAAATCCAGTTCATCTTAAAGTATGATTATATATAGGAAATTGGTTATGTACAGCAATTTTGTGTGAAAATTGGATGATTTTAGAGACATAATAAGAGGTAGGAAAACTTACTGTACAAGGAAGGATTTATTTGAAGGTGGGACAACCCTTTTAAAATCCAGTTCATCTTAAAGTATGATTATATATAGGAAATTGGTTATGTACAGCAATTTTGTGTGAAAATTGGATGATTTTAGAGACATAATAAGAGGTAGGAAAACTTACTGTACAAGGAAGGATTTATTTGAAGGTGGGACAACCCTTTTAAAATCCAGTTCATCTTAAAGTATGATTATATATAGGAAATTGGTTATGTACAGCAATTTTGTGTGAAAATTGGATGATTTTAGACATAATACAAGGTAGGAAAACTTACTGTACAAGGAAGGATTTATTTGAAGGTGGGACAACCCTTTTAAAATCCAGTTCATCTTAAAGTATGATTATATATAGGAAATTGCTTAACAGCAATTTTGTGTGAAAATTGGATGATTTTAGAGACACTTACTGTACAAGGAAGGATTTATTTGAAGGTGGGACAACCCTTTTAAAATCCAGTTCATCTTAAAGTATGATTATATATAGAGATGTATTCTTTGACATAAAGGATGATTTCCTAACTGGATGTTTCATTTTGTTTATAACTTGTGTTTTTTTAAGCTGGGATAGTGTAAGATGATGGTACATTGAATGATTATTGTGCTGCATTTTAACAAATACAGATTGTCTGATGATACTTCTTGTAAGATAAAGTTAAAAAACATCCTTTACCATTTATCTTGAAATGGAAGTTTTGCCAGCAAAAAAAAGACTTTAGAAAGATATTTTACTCTATTTTTATATACAGAGCACTTTGGCATGTAAATAATACTTGGTGTATGTACATAGTATGTAGGAGTATTAGTTCCCTTCAGATGCAATTTAAAAAGTGGGGCACATGTGTGACTATCTTTTTTTCCCTTCCTTCCTTCTCCTTCCCATTCCCCCTCTTCCTCCTCTTCCTCCTCTTCTTCTTCTTCCTCCTCTTCTTCTTCCTCCTCTTCTTCTTCTTCTTTCTTCTTCTTCTTCTTCTTCTTCTTCTTCTTCTTCTTCTTCTTCTTCTTCTTCTTCTTCTTCTTCCTTCTTCTTCTTCTTCTTCTTCTTCTTCTTCTTCTTCTTCTTCTTCTTCTTCTTCTTCTTCTTCTTCTTCTTCTTCTTCTTCTTCTTCTTCTTCTTCTTCTCTTCTTCTTCTTCTTCTTCTTCTTCTTCTTCTTCTTCTTCTTCTTCTTCTTCTTCTTCCTCCTCCTCCTCCTCCTCCTCCTCCTCCTCCTCCCTCCTCCTCCTTTCTTCCTTCTTTCTTCCTTCTTTCTTCCTTCTTCTTCTTCTTCCTTTTTTTCTATGACATTTCTTCCTTTAATTCTGACATAAAGATGGAATTGTTGACAATACCCAGAAAAGTAATCAATCTGTCTATCTATCTATATTATATATATATATATATATATATATATATATAATACATATTGATGTGTGTATGTATATAAATATATATATATATGTGTGTGTGTGTGTGTGTGTGTGTGTGTGTGTGTGTGTGTGTGTGTGTGTGTGTGTGTGTGTGTGTGTGTGTGTGTGTGTGTGTGTGTGTGTGTGTGTGTACATATATATATATATATATATATATATATATTATATATATATATATATATATATATTATATATATATTTATATTTATATTTATATTTATATTTATATTTATATTTATATTTATATTTATATTTATATTTATATTTATATTTATATTCATATTCATATAATGATAATAATAATGAAGATAATAATAATGATAATAAAAATTATAATAATAATATGTATTTGCACAGATTTAAAAGTATATGTTTCTTTTAAACTCATGCTGGAACTTTAACTTTTCTGAGTTTTATTCCCATCTTAAGGTAAGAATTAGAGGAAGAATCAGTTATTTTATAAGAATATATATTGTAGTTATAAGTCTAACAAATAAAACTGTGGTCTTCGTAAGACAATGTACGGTGAAAGTAGGTTGAAATAAATAAAGCAAATATAAAGAAAGCTTTTTCTTATACTTTTACATAGTACGGTTTGTATTCATGGTATTTTTTTCATAGCTTATCCCTTAATGGCCTATTTGCTTTGATTGTGGCATGCAGTCTTTTGTATGTATAGTTCCTATTGCAATGGTTGAGCACATACTTTCGAAAACTGGTGGGGTTTTCCTGTCCCCCCCCCCCCTTCTTTTTTGTCTTTGTGCGTGCATGAGTGCGTGCGTATGTGTTTCCTCCGGCCATATCCACTGTGCCATTACCTTGTAGGTCCTCTTCTCCCTTGGTTAATCAGGCATTTAAGATTATAAGTCTTTCTGTTGTGAATGGAATGTAGAGCCTGGAATAGAATTGGACTAATATGTGGTCCCTTCCTCTACTTTCATCACCCACTTTCATGTTATATTAGTGTGTGCTGTATAGTTACCTAGTTGGAGTCTAATTATTTATACTGTTATACATGTGAATAGATATACATTTATATTTTATTGTTTGGTTTGATAAATATGTTTTATGCATTTATTGTTTTTTCACTCATTTGAGTGCTTTACAGTACAGTCTGTATTTGATATATAACAGCAGCCTATACATTTTCTTGGGTGTAAAATCAGGCTCTTGATTTATCAAAGGCCAAAACTTGCCATGGTGAAACTTTAAAAATCAGGCAGTATTGGTAAAGATACAGAAAAGTAATATGGGGTTGTAGCAAGTATAAATGTTAACTTTATTTTTGCACAGCTGTACTACCCAGGTCAAGAAAATTAACACCCTTGATGAGCAGGATTGCCCAGTTTCACAGGCTTGTTAAAGCAGCAGAGAGGGGTTATGGTGTTCCTTCACATTCTTCTCATTCTCATAGCACCTCGGTGCTTGCTTTTCAAATCACTTGTTTTCAAGCTGTGTTTTGCTGTCCTTTTCTCAACTTGGTGTATTTTATTTTAGTATATAGATGTATGAAACACAAGTTTTTGTGTAGCATGAGTCACATTTAGGATCTTGCGTCTATACTTCGAGTGCATAGAAATATGTATTATGTTAAGCTAAGGATCATCAAAACCAGATGTGTTGCTAAGATAGTTGTAATTTATGTTTGTTAAGACAAGTACAGTTTGATAATAATGTACTGATATATCTTTAGTTATTTAAATTATCTTTAACATAAATTTTTCTTCACATTATAACACTTTGCTGTTCATGTTTAAATGCAGTACAACATAGGGTGGAATCATCACCAAAATCAAAAATCCTTCCAAACGAACATGAGAGTAGAAAGTAATTTTAAAATTAAAATTTTCCCATTTTCTTACCCATAAACACAAGCAGATATAATAACTGTAATATTTAACCCTTTGTGCTGGGAAGATGCATGCCAAATCCAATGTGATCTTAGTTTATTTACCGTGTTTGCACATAGATGGCTCTACAAGTGATTGGTCATCAAGGAGTCAATTATTAATCCTACTTATTTACCCTTGTCCTTGATTGTTGAAAAGATTTTTTTTCTGTTATTAGTTTTTTTTATCATCCTCATCAATATCATGTCATCATCATCATTATCATCAATCATCAAATCATCATATTATCATCATCAATCATCAAATCATCATATTATCATCATCAATCATCATATCATCATCATCATCATTATCATCATCATCATCATCATCATCATCATCATCATCATCAACAATCATCATCATCAACAACAATCATCATCATCAAAAACAATCATCATCATCATCATCAAAAACAATCATCATCAAAAACAATCATCATCATCATCATCATCAATCATCATCATCATCATCATCATCATCATCATCATCATCATCATCATCATCATCATCATCATTCATCATCATCATCATCATCATCATCATCATCATCATCATCATCATCATCATCATATCATAATCATCATCTCAATCATCATCATCATCATCATCATCATCATCATCATCATCATCATCATCATCATCATCATGATGATGATGATGATGATGATGATGATGATGATGATGATGATGATGATGATGATGATGATGATGATGATGATGATGATGATGATGATGATGATGATGATGATGATGATGATGATGATGATGATGATGATGATGATGATGAGATGATGATGAGGAGGAGGAGAGGAGGAGGAGAGGAGGAGGAGAGAAGAAGAAGAGGAAGAGGAAGAGGAAGAGGAAGAAGATGATCACTTCTACCTTGGACCTCAGCTCTTGTCTCAACTAATTTTGCATGGTCTTTTTTTTCTCTCACCCCAGAAAAAAATATGGAGCCATCTATAGCAGAATTGACCCAAAAAATCTATAATAGACAGCAAATATGTCAGGGTTCAAAGAGGTAATCGTTTTTATTAGTAGTAGTTGTATACAGTATTAAAAGCAATAGTAGTAGTAGTAATTATTGCTGTTACCATTCAGTTACTACTTTTGTTATTATGATCATTTTTAATAATAGTTTAATAGTAATGATAGAAATTTTAAAATGGCATTAAATGAACACACATGATAGTTCATTCTAGTGATGGGGAACGAGCTACAGAATTTATCCGATTAACTTAATTTACTGTAGAATCCTACATACATATATATATAATGTTTTTACATTGTTCATGTAGCTATCAGCACTAATTTAGTAATATGATTAATTACTTGTATAAATCGAGTAACATATAATTTCTTGAAGGTTAAAAAAGGTTCATCATTCATTTCAAGATAATAGATTTATTTCTACATAAAGTGATCTACACATACAACCAACATACTCAATATTTTCACTGTAAGAAGTTTCAAGTACCGACGTAGCGATCGCCAGCCCTCAATATAGGCCGTTGGCAATGGGTAAGAAGTTATCTAAATATCAAAAGTAGAAAACACTTACTCAGCCATTTTAGAAGTAATCCTTACACAACAAATAACAACAACAAGGAATTGAATTGGGAATTAGAATTCAAAATATTCACAAAACAAAGCAGTAACAGTATCAACACCACAGATACAAATAAACCAATCACATTTATATACCATTGTGAATATAAGTATTCATTTTTGTGTCATTTGACAACATGCATAAATACTTGAGATGAAAGCCTGTCTACAGTGTGGCTTGTTCTGAATGACTGATATCAAAAAGTTGTTACATGCACCATGGCCTAGAAAACGATTAAATCCTAAACCTTTCACACGATAATGAACATACAAACAATAATAAAGAAGGGGAACACATGAATTCTCATTTACATAAAGGAATACATATAGAGATGTGCATTT